CTTGGTATATTGCAACCCAAGTCATGACACTTGACTCGATTGTGCTGTAATTAGGCGCTTTTGCAATTCAATTTTAGCCGGGTAGCTGGTTGAGCTGAACAAATCGAAAAACCAAATTTCATTCACAATTGATGAAAAGTGCAATAAGAGACGAAAAAAAGATTTGTCAAGCAAAAAAGATGAGATAGACAAAAGTGAACGGAAGTTGCCGAGCAACTTTCGACACACAGCTCCAAAAACAATGAACCGTCGCTGAATCGAGAGGGGGGTTAGTTTAATAAGCCGTTGCAATAACAACAGAAATGCGTTTTCATAGTTGATGCATCCATGGAACTGAAACGTTGCCTGGAAATTAATTTGAAAGCAGCCAACTTGAGCGAAGGGGGAGGCAAGTGGAGAAACTGAGCACATACGAGATAGATGAGCCAATGCACAACACTTTAGTGCCGCAGGCGAATACACTCACACACACTCTAACTCGCACACTGGCCATTCACACATGCACATATTAATTAATTCAAAATTGAATTACGCATACGCACAGGTGTACACAGGCGACGCTTAAACCAAAACTAAAAGACGAGTTGCTGCCACACACATTGCAGCTGCAAACACTTGGACAAAAGAGTCGTAAAATAAAAACACAGCATTCGTCGGGCCATAAACAAAAGCAACAAAAACCAAAGCTAACGAACCAACAAAAACAACAGCTAGAAGAAAAGGCTCTAAAGACTGAGCTCTAAACATTTTGTTAGAAATTAAGTCTGAATATGGCCAAATTCAGGTAGTTGATACCTGGCAGTACCCCAGTGGGTGTACACACTGTACACCACACATGTCACACACTGTGCCGCTGTCTTTGCCTTTGTGGCACGGACCAGCCCAGGCCAGACAAGGCTAGCCCAGGCCAGGCCTGGTCCGTGCCAGTTAAAGACTGTTTGGCCACTTAAGCTGCCCGCGCCGCAATGCAAATTATCTACCCCAGAGCTCCGATTTGGCTCGTATTTTTGGACACTTATTGTGCGACTGTCGTCTAGAGATTGTTGTCGTTGGCGTCGTCATGGCTGCCAATTGCAAGTTTGCTAGTTTGCAACACATGCCGCCCAGGACACGGTTGCCAACAAGACACAATGCACACACTAGAGGTGAACCACTGAAAAATCAATTGAACGGTTAGTTTGGTACGTTGCAGAAACTTGTGTTCAAATAAAAGGCTGCAGCCCGAAAAAAAGAATGGGTTGGTTCGGTTCACGATTCTAACCAGCTCGCTGGTTTGAGGTTTGTTTTGTGACCTGGGTTTTCAATTCATGCTTAAAACCTTGTTTTGTGGTATATTTTCGAAAATAGCTAATAAAAAAATTCACAAGTTTTTTATTTTGCACCAAATAAAAAAAAATTATGGTAAATTCGGATTTGGGTAACTGGTTTGGTTTATGGTTCAGCTCATAGTTTAATTTAAACTTTAATTTCAGATTCGGACCGGTTCACTAAAAAAAACGGGTTAGCAGCTTTTTTAAGCATTAAGTACTTATGTTCAAGAGAACGAAATTAAATAAGCAAGAACCGTTTGCCACGAACCAGTTTCTTCTCATTCGTTTCTTCATTAAATGTCATGCCTTTAAAAGATATACAGTATACAGCAATAAAAACTCACTGGTTCATTTGAACCGTGCATTTTTTGCTTTTTAGCCAGCTGAGTTGAACAGATATTTTGACAGTAAAAACAAAAGAAATCCGGACCGGTTCGCTTTAAACTTACATTTACAGTTGAGCAGCTCAGTTAATTATTTGAAAATTCAGTGCTCAAATATTAAATTCAGTTCATAATATTTGCATGGAACTTATTAGTTAACAAGTTAACGAATCAATAAAAAATTATTCATAAGTTGATAAGAATCATTGCAACACATATATTTCACTTTTAAAGTTTAACTAAAAGGACGTCAAGACAACAAATGAACTAAACACAATACATAGATTTTGAAAGGCCAAAGGCTTTGACCACCTCTAGATTTTGCCCAAGTCTGGTCTCGGCTCACTAAGCGCATGTTGCACGATGAACAATATAAGGAAAAATTTTGAAAATTCACCTAAAGCTATTTTATAATAGTTTTTCTTGAACGGTTATGACAGCGTCTGTGATGGTCAGGCTTCGTTGGGTTTTCGCAGAAGTATTTTTAATTGTTAATCGAAGTTGAACAAAACAGGGGGCAGCAGCAAAAGGCACCAAGACGCTTGACAATTTTTAATTTATTCCTCATTTAGTGTAAGTAGTGTAGGGTATACCTAACAATTCAACTAACTATGAATATATATAGATACATATACATATATATATATATATTATACATACACATATATATAGACATATGTATACACATAGTTGGAAATGGAATAGCTCACACCTGACTATCTGATGAATACTTATGAAGCTCTGTTTCCAATTCAAAATATAATGACCACACTTTCATTTAAGTGGACGCCGACGGTCGCGGATCCTCCACAGAGACCAGCCAGCTGCAATTGAGTATTTCACGCAGATCCCAGCGCGTCGCTGCATCTGGCTCCAACAGGACAGACACTGTGGCCTTGGCGTGCGGCGATATGACATCCTGTAGTTTCCGGCGAAATGCGAACTTCTTGCCGCGTTGATCTTCCAGCAGTTTGGTCAGGTTGCTATCATCGAATGGCATCTTGGCATTCATCATTATAAACAATATGACACCCAGGGACCAGGCATCGGCCAACTTTGGATCGTATGGCACACCACAAACAACCTCCGGTGCGGCATATGCGGCCGAGCCGCAATATGTCTCCGATTTCAACTGATGTCCGGCTTCGTCTCGACAATAGCGTGCGAACCCAAAGTCGGCTAATTTGACATTGAGGCGCTTGGAAAGCAGAATATTCTCGCACTTAAGATCACGATGCGCAATGTCATGTGTGTGCAGATACTTTAGGGCTTTCGCCATCTGAAAGAACCAGACCTTCGATTGTTTTTCATCAATCGGGCCCGACTTCTTGATGTGCGTCAATAGATCGCCCTTTTCGGCGTAACGCATAAATATGAAGATTTTCGGACCACGCTGTAAGATGCTGTGTATCTGTATAATATTGGGATGATCCAGTTTCGTCAAGATCTCCAGTTCCCGTGGAAAAAACTTGTGCACAAAGTCGGTGGGGGCCTTGGCTTTATCGATGATCTTGCAGGCCAGATTGACACCATGACCACTCTCATCCGCATAGCCGGCGGTGATCACAGTCGCATAGGACCCTTCGCCGATCTTGTGGCCAATATTATAACCACGCTGGGCCAGGGCGTCAATGTCGGAGCTGCGTGTGCTCAACTGACGGCTGCCTCCATAATTGGTCATGGTTTATGGAATATGAGCTAAATCAATCGATACGCTGCCTATGATCTTTGCGTTTACCAACTGCATTATTTTAGCGGGATGTAGGGCATAGTTAGATAAGACGTTAGATGATCACTTCTTGTTGTCATATGTATGTATCTGTATATTTACCGTTGTGTTGGATTTCCCTCACTAAACTTATGAATTTGATGGTACTATAATATAAAGTTGACAAAATTGCCTATTCCAATCCAGAAATTTTGACGAAATTACAAACGTTGTGAAAGAGCAGAGACAAATAATAAAATAACTGAAACTGAAACTGCAATTACATTCAATTTTGTTTTAACTGGCCATGTCTACTATGCTCTACTTTTTTCCATATAATAAAATACATATACTCTTCAATTTGAAGTATTTAAAAAAACAAACTAATTAGATTACGTATTGCAAACCAAGTATATTTCAAATTATTTCAATGAAATCTTTCTAAATACTTAAAATACATTATGTACATTTTTGTTTATCATTTTCGAGCATTACATTCAATATGCTAAAAAAAAAAAATAGAATAGGATGTACCCTGTAGCCACGGCTGTGTGCATATACACACATATAAATAAAATTTATATATACTTCTGGTTGTATACATTGGTATACCATATATATATATATAAATATATATACAATTCTTCGTCCTTATTAACTGATTGTTGATCAACGCATAACCCAAGCCATAAGATATAGTTAAGTTTTACTCTGACTAGCTTGGAATGGGATTTTAAGAGATTCCAATTGCAATTATGGAACATTTGTGGACTACAGATGCATATAGATTTTTTGTATTAATCCAATAGGTTTTAAAGCACATTTTCAAACATCCCTGTGAAACGATTTTTGTAATTCAGCCCACGGCAGTTAATTGTGCGATCGACTACAAACTCATTTTCGAATATCTATGTAAAATGTAATTTGAGATTTGGAATTCGAGGTAGTACAGGTATATTTAAAAAGTGTGACATCATTAAGATAGGCACCTTCGATATATATATATATTTCTGATGAGGTCAACAAGCTAAGTCCATGTAGACAAAATATCGTTCTTTCTATCAAAAGCCATTTCGATAACATATGGCATATATACTTTTTTTGCAGTAGGCATGACATATGTGTCCAACTTCAAAACAGTTCTTTATTTCATATGAATACACAGTTAGATACATAGATAAACTCTAAAGTTGGACTCGCTTTTGTATAAGCATCGATCAGGAAAGATGCTCTTGCGTGAACAATATTTGCAGTTTAAGCTAAGGTGACCTTGAAAAAAAATACTAGCCAACATTTTAACCAGAATTGGACTTCCATAATGCTTATACATACTAACATACTAAGTTAGTATCGGTTGAGAACTTAATTCTCAACAAATATGTCTTATTATATTTTATTGACATCGGACTACTATATCATAAAGCTTACAATAATGTGTCGAAAATTCAGTTTCCTGTGACTCAAATAAGAATTTGAATATTGTATATTTGTCATATATCTGCAAATGTTTTAAATCTTTGCATCTGTTTTTTCTACAATTTCTATTAAAAAAGTGAAACCAGAGTAAACTGTGTAAAGTTGCTCAAAAATACTCTTATATTATTTAACTTGCGTTCGATATTTGCCTTTGTTCTGTCACGTTTTTATTTTGTCAAAATTTCTGGATTCGAATAGGAATTTTAGTTCGTTTTATATAATATACCATCAAATTCCAGTTTAGTCAAGTTAACCAATGCAACGGTAAATATGACGCAATACAACGAATAGCCAATACCCTCAAAAAACAACAACATCCTCACCCTCTCATTCCCACATATAGTTGGTAAATTGAGAGGCACCATTAAATCATGTGCAACAATGGAGAAAGTGCCCAGATTCAGGGCACACGCAGCTCTGACATTCACGCATTGGCCCAGCAGGGCTATAAAATCGGCAGCAAGATCGGCGAGGGCTCCTATGCGACTGTGATAAATGCCAGCTATACGGAGGAGAGTGGTCGCAATATCAATTTGGCCTGCAAGGTGATCGATAAGGAAAAGGCGCCCCTTGACTTTGTGGAAAAGTTCTTTCCGCGCGAGATGGATATATTGACGAAACTGGATCATCCCAATATTATACAGATTCACAGCATCTTGCAGCGCGGTCCGAAGATTTTCATATTTATGCGCTATGCCGAGCGAGGTGATCTATTGACGCATATCAAGAAAGTGGGCTTTATTGAGGAGAAGCAGGCTAAGATCTGGTTCTATCAAATGGCCACCGCCTTGAAGTATTTACACAGCTTTGATATTGCCCATCGGGATCTCAAGTGCGAGAACATTTTACTCTCCGAACATTTCAATATAAAGCTAGCCGATTTTGGTTTCGCCTGCTTCTGTCCCAACGACAGCGGCGGGCAGACGTTGTCGGAGACGTATTGTGGCTCGGCTGCATATGCTGCACCAGAGGTTGTCTACGGAGTGCCCTATGATCCGAAGCTGGCCGATGCCTGGTCGCTGGGTGTTATTTTGTTTATTATGTTGAATGGAAAGATGCCATTCGATGATGCAAATCTGTCCAAATTACTGGAGGATCAGCGCTCCAGAAAGTACGCGTTTCGCCGCAAGTTGCATGACCTCATCACGCCTCATGCCAAGGCCACAGTTGCCGTGCTGCTCGATCCGAATGCAACGACTCGCTGGAATCTGCGCGAGATTCTCAAGTGCAGCTGGTTGCTTCTGGAGAAGGAGAAATCACAACAACAAATTCAACAACAACAACAACATCGACTACAACAGCAAAAGCAGCAAATACAATAACAACAAACAGTCGTCAACATTAATGTGTAAAAATCATTGCCGAAAATCTTATATTGGCACCACACTCAAAAATAGAATTAGGTTTTAGTAACAAAGTTATATGTCCGGAAAATGCATTGAGCCCAAAATATTACAGACCAATCGAAAAATTTAAAAAATAAAAACACGTAGCTATATATTTATATAAAAATTGCATGTGTATAAATTATTTTTCAATGGATAGAGTATTGATATAGCCATAGATTAAGGAGTTGGCATAGCCATGTCTATCTGTCAGTCTGTTTTTTTTTTCTTTTCGTGTTCAACATTGAATGTTTCTATTGTAGGCAGTGCATATGTCGGAACCAAACGGAACGGTCTACTATATCATATAGCTGCCATGCAATCGAAAAAAAAATTATGGTAAAAACAATTTGTTTATCAATATATCTTGATCCCAAAAACCCAGAAATTACTAGTCAAATTGTGCTGTTTGTATACGAGCCAAATCGTATCTAGCTCTCACTACTTTATTATATAGATCCATAGGAAGAATCGGTTGAATGCTGCACAAGAAGATTTTTAGTCTATGATTCTCTGATTACAGACCATTTACTAGTCGTATTTATAACTTTCATTAGATAAATTTTCCAACTCAATTAGATTTATATAAGGCCAATAAATTAATCTTTTTACAGTTGCCTGCCTGTTGCCGCTGCCTTATGCCACGGCCGGTGGCAAGCACAACCACAGCGGTGTCATTGCAGACGCCGAGCTAAGCGCCTCGGAGCGTAATCGTCGCTTGATACCCTATATGGCCTTCTATTTGCCCGCACCCGAGCTGCCCATCAATCAACAATATGCTGTCAAGCATGCCTCAGCCGCCGGTGGCTCACAGCTGCTGCCGCCCGCCGCCGCTGGTGCAGCGCCTAGTCGCATACCAGTGCCCGTTGCCTACATGCCACAGACGCATCCACAGCAGCCGCATCATCAGACGCCGCATTATCAGTCGGGCGCAGCGGACGTGTATCATACGCTGGCGGTGCAGCATGGCCCGCTGCCACCGCTGTCACCTGTGCACGGCAAGGAGACGCCATCGCCGGGCGCCACATTTATTGCCTACAAACCATTGAGTCCAGCGCACAAGGCAAGTAAAAAAACAAGTTAATTTGCACCAGTCGGAAAGGCCCGACTACCAGACACCCTGGAACCCAGCTGCCTGCCTCTCGCTTCTTATATACCAAATCCAGAAAGAACTGCCTTTTTTAATAAGTTTATGTTTTGGATTTGTGTATACTATAGGAGATTTTATATACCAAACTTGGTAACTGTAGCTCTCATACCAAATCTAGTATCTAGGTATTTCTAGCTCTTATAAGTTCTGACATAATTTTAACCGATTTCATGCACAAGTTATGGACAAACTTGATCTGCAAGGGCAACAGAATGACCAAAGTGCAGGCAGATAAACTTACGATCAGATCTATTGATGCTGATCAAGAATATGCAAAGTTATGGGATCGGAGGTGCCTGCATCTATGCGTTACACATTTCGTGACAGAATTATATTATTTCGTTAATTATTCTATCAATTGAAATCACTTTAAGTACAATTCAAGCTGCCAAATATTGCCGGTTACCTACATTTGCACACAATCATTCTACCCTTTTTACACATTTTCCCTGGGTTCAGGGTATAACAAAAAATTGCAGAGCACAAATAAAGTCAAATATAATCGTGAAAATCATAATATATATAAACAGCACAAGACGGTGCAGCATTTTCCGCCTCTGCCACAGCAGGAGCAGCAAAAGCACGACCATCAGCCCCACCATCATCACCAGCAACAGCAGCAGCAGCAGCAGCCGGAGCCACTGCAGCAGCAGTACGAGTTGCTGCCACCGCCTCCGCAGCTGCAGCTGCAGTTTCAGCGGCAGCGTGGCAAACAATCAAAAGTCAATTTAACGCCGTTTACAGCGCAGAATACGCTGCCGGGACACTTTATACCCATTATTTATACGCCGCTGAGCAAGCCGAACAGCAACAACAACAACAACAACGACAACAATGAGCTGCATAACGGCAATACAATCAATTACAACAAAAATCAGTCGCCATCTGAAATTGTCTACCATAAAAATTCGCATCAAACACAAATTGTTACGGATTATGCAGGAGATGTGCCCTCAGCAGCCGGAGTTGCCGCCTCGCCGGATTCACAGTCATCGGGGGAGGCGCAGCCGGAGGATGCGGTGCATGCGACGCCGAGGTAAGAATTTTGTGTATGACATACGAATACGCTGAAAAAGCTCTACAAAATGCAGACACATTCTTTATGTGTATCTGTCAGATATTTGTTGGTATTTGTATCTGTGCATCTGTCAGATACATATCTAGCATAGACTTTTTGCTACTATTAGCAGCGCTCTGCTGATGGAATTGTTTCTGCCGTTTCCCACACACTCACACACGCGCTCAGCCACACGCTTAGCTACTGCCGCCTATCGTCACCCATTGTCATCATATAGTTGTTGTTGCATGTGCAACTGCATGTTGCAAACAAATTAAAAATGTTGCATCCACATTTCGGCAACAGTTCTAAAGCATAGTTATGTACTTAGACTAAACAGGTCGAATCCCTATATTTAAACTCTTAACCCAACTCACAATTATTTACTCGTTTTAATTGTTTCAAACATCAATTACTTTTAAGATCGTTGCGTTTCTATATGACAGTGTTCAGTGTACTTATTATATATTCAAACGCCTATGTAGATGAATTTTAATGGACTAATCAAATCAAATTTGATGGTACAAAACGAGAAAGTTAGTTTATCTTCGGAACTCCAGACAAACATTTGCTTTACGGTTTTGCAATTATGTCTGAATACAGAAGATCTTAAATGCTGAGTTTGATAAAAATAACTTAGAAAGCAGAGTATCTTGCCAAAACAGAACCTAATTTTCGACCGATCGTTCCTATGGCAGCTATATGATATAGTGGTCTGATGTTGATAGAATTTTGCACACATATATATGAGGAGCATAGTGAAACTAATAAATGCCGAGTTTGGTCAAAATATCTTGATAAACAACAAGTTTTTCATTTTCGACCGCTCGCTCTTATGGCAGCTATATGATATAGTGATACGATCCGGTCGGTTCCAAACTGAGAGATGAGTTCGCATATAATTAGACAGACGGGCATGGCTGATGAAACTGATCAAGAATATATATACTTTATGGGGCCGAAAATGTTTTCCTTTATGCGATACATATTTCGAGACAAAGTAATAATACCCTCTGCAAGGGTAAACAAAAGGTAGAAATAAATAAAGAGAGAAAGAAAAGGATTATAAATACTCCTGCAGACTGAAATAAAAATATTCCCATACTCTCTTATTTGACCGATTATTTATTATTTTTTGCTTTCCTTTTTTTCTATAACTCTAACTAACTAAGACTCTCTTTAAGCGTCTGTATTAAACAAGATCGATATTGATTCTCTAGTATATATCAAATCAGTTGATTTATACAACAAATTAATAATATAGTGTTCAGGTTCAGCCCATTCTGATGTTTATTAAGTTTCATGATTGAATTATTTACCTTGTCGGGTCGGGGATGAAATAAGATTATAATACCAAATACAACGTTTACAAAAAGTTTCAATTTTAAAGAGATTCTCATTTGTACGAATCTCGAATTTTTCAGTTTCGAGATGTTTTAAAAGGCAAGTTTTAGACACTAAAACAGTTCGCTTTAAAAACTTCTTGCAATATTCTATTTCTCACGAATTCGAATTAAGGATAACTATAGTTAAGACATTTATTGTTACGAATGTTAAGCTAGAGTTGTCTTATATGACAACTATCGTAAACGTATTTTGAAGAACGTAAGGCAAGACTTGTCTTTAATAATGTCTCATTTGTTAATTTTTTATGTAATTAAAATTAAATGCAAATCTATATTGTCAAGTCTGTCGTTGGCTATTCTAAAATGCCATTGTTTACAAAAATTGAAATACATGAAACAGTTGTGACATTTTAAATAAGTAAAATAGAAAATTAAAGGTAGTATAGAGAACATTTGTGCTGCACCGAGCTGCCGTTGTCGTTGTGTCGGCGACACAAACACGGCACAGCACACGTGGCACAGGTTGCATGCAATGCCCTTGGGCATAGAATTCAATTGCATTTAATGCGTTGCCTCAACCTCTACTTCTGCTTCTGCTTCTGACGACATTCGGTCTGGTGACGTAAGAAGCAGTTTGCTGTACTCCACGAGGCGCCGCCAAAGGGGCATACAGTGGGCGTGTGCTCTGAATGTAGTCAATGCTCTGGCCGTGTATTGATGAGCGCCTCCTGTTCATCTCGTAATTTTCACAAATTGCAAAATCATGTCATAAACAACCGCAGGCAAGCTGGTCAATACAAAATATGTACATATGCATGCTACAGGTCAGCAGCTGTTTTTACAACCCCTCAGACGCACCCTTTAACCCAACATGAGTACAGTGAAAGCTGCCTGGGAGCAGATACATACTTTGCGCTTATTGCCCACTAGCTGAGATGTTTCAAGGATATGACAACATATTATTATTATATTATATTATGAAACTTCAAGACATAAATATTGGCCTGCTATAGTAGTTATCTGCCCAAGGGAGCTGTCCCTTAGTAGAGCTTTCACTGTATGCACAACTCATACGCTTTTGCATGTGCCCCGCAGCGTTGGCTATAGCGTGTACAATGAGCCAGCCATTGTGTCATCAGCCACTGTCACCACATCCGCCGCCTCATCGACATCCACAAACCCACAAAACGCATTGATAGCACACCAAAAGTCGCCGGCATATGGACACGTGAGCAAATACGAGAGTTACTTTAACATGTCGCCGGATCAGCAGCAGCAGCAACAGCAGCTGACTCCGCAGGAAAAGTACGTGCTCTACTTGCAGCAGCGCATGAAGCAACAACGCCAGCAGCAACAGCAGGAGCGCTTATTACACCATCATCAACAACAACAACAGCTGGCGCAAAGCAATACGAAAGCTGGCAAACATCCACACAGTCACCCACATACGCCAACTGCAGCACCACCTCCACCACCACCAACACCATCCCACCACAGTCAGTTACACAATTACAATGAGGTTTTCGTGCGCCCGGAGGCGGCACAGACAGCGCAGCAGCAACAGGTGCTGCATATTCCATTGCGCGCCCTCATGGGTCAACTGCATGAGCAGCCAAAGGACTCGCTGCTCGGGTAAGTCCACACACTAGGAGCCATTTGAGTGCCTGAACATATGCTTGCGGTTTGCTTTTTCTTAGTCCAACTTTCATAAGCCTACTCTCACTTCTTTTCCCTCTCTTTTTAACACAGCTCACCCGCACCGCCCCACTTCATCGATTACCTCATCGATGGACCGCGTCAGTCACTGGACGAGGAACAGCAGCAGCAGCAGCAGCAACAACAACAGCAGCTGCAACAGCTGTCGCATCAGGAGCACTCTCAAGCCGCACCCTCGCATCCTCCACAGCACGCCTACATTTTGGTAACCACCTCAGCGCCCTACGCGGAGCATTCGCAGCCACCCCGACTGCCTAATTTACAACCCACCCGTGCACCTGTGCTATACAAACAGCAGCCCACGTTGCGCCTGCAACCGGTGCCGCCTGTGTACAAGTATCACGCCACCCGGCGGCCAGTCTATATCAGTCCGCCCACGCCCAGCGAGACGGTCAAGATTACGCCCAAGTATGTCTATGTGACCAGTAAGCCGCGGCCGTCGCCGCCGCCACAATCTGTCCACAGCGAGTCGCCCCAAGCGCCGCCTATTAAGCTCAAACCCGTCCACAAATACACGCCAGAGCGTCCGCCTGCTTCGGCACGACCGAGTCAGGTGTTCAACACGCCGGATGATGCGGATCAGCTGCCCGACATACGCACCTCCTCGCTGGCAGAGATTCTGCATAAGCTGCAGGCGAGCAACCACCTGCCACAAACTCTCACACCCGATAACATAGACAACTCCATCAAGACGCTGATACGCATCCTGCAAAATCTGAAGCAGACCCAAACAATTGTACCCAATCCTCCCCAGCATCATGACACAAAACACAGCAGCAGCAACAGCAACAGTCCCGACTATGATTACAACACGGCCAGCGAAGAGGAACAGCAGCACACGCCGGCAAAAGTGGCGGGCAACGTCGATGCGGATCTGCTGCAGCTGAGCGGACCAAGTGAGTTACTTTCAACTATAAAGGAGCTTTAAGGAGACTAGTATAAAGGATCAACAGTTTCTTTTAAAATGCAACCTATCTGTTGTCTGACCTTTGGGAAATGTTAATGTTTGTGTAGGGATCTCAGAATAAATTTAAAGCAATTCGCAAATTCACCCATTTTCCATATATGGTGGCGAATTGACCGATATCTTTAAAAAATGTCATAATTTTTTAAAATAAGCAGATAATAGGTTGAATTTATATTGATTCGGGCAAAATTATATAGTTCTGCTTTAGTTTTTTTGCGATTGCATTTTGTCACAACTTGAAATCGATTTGACACTGATGTCTTTAATCTTTTATCCTACAGATAAACATCCGGGTCCTAGCACTGGACGTGCCGGCATTGATTATCCCAACTACGCGGAGATTCCAAAGACCAGCTTCGAGTGCACGCAGCAGCGTTACAAGGGTTTCTTTGGCGATCCGGAGACCAATTGTCAGGTGTGGCACTATTGTGATCTCAATGGAGGCAAAGCCTCATTCCTATGCCCCAATGGCACCATCTTCAGTCAGGTAAAGAATCAAAATATGGAAAGCAAAGCTCGAACTCTAATCACACTCCCCATTTTTTAGATTGCGCTGACCTGCGATTGGTGGTTCAACGTGAAGTGCTCAACCACTTCGCAATTATATGTGCTAAATGAGCGTCTGTACAAGTATATACTGCCCTTTAATCCTAAATTCCCCGAGGATTACAATGGACCCATTGTGGATAAGTAAATGCTAGCCAAAATCAAAGCTATAAGCCTATATATTAACATTAACATTATTTATTTGGCAATTCAGATATCTGGCCATGAAGTTCCAGGAAATGGAGGAGAAAATGCGCCTGGATAAGCAGCGCAAGGCCAATCAGCAGGCGGAAAAGCCGGCAGCCCGCGACGAGGCATCTACGCCCACATTGCCCAAGAACCACAAGCCGTCACCGAAGCACGGCAGCGGCATCAATGCTCAGGTCTATGAGCAGAGCTCGGAGCGCAATCTTCTCATCGATGATGAGATTGATGACATTTCGGAGCGCGGCACCTACGACACATACGGCCAGGCGCCAACCACTATAATGGCGCCCATAACAACAACAACGGGCCAGGACACGCAAACGCTTGGCCTGAGGCCCATAGTCGTATCTTCCACACCGGAGCCAGAGCCAGTGCTGGAGCTGGAGCTGGAGCCAGAGCCTTTGCCAGGTGCCGATCCCGAGCTGGAGGCTGACACTGAGGTGGATGGCGATACGCTAGAGAGCAGTGAGGAGGTGAACAGGCTGCAGAGTTTGCGGGACACAAATACGGCCGCCGGTCAAAAACAGCTCGAGACGACAAAAGTAAGCGTCGAGAAGCTGGAGGTGATTGAGATTAAAACGGACGGCACAACCGGACACCTAATGCCCATCGTCAGCGGCATGGCGGAGAGCAGTAAGCAGGCGAGAAAGTGACAGGGGGAGCAACAATAAGAGAGCAATAAGCCTGGTAGGGAATGCTTGCCATATTTGTAATGAGAGAATTCTTGTACTTGTTCGTTTGTTGATTTTTGGACGCCTTTAAATTATTCTTAGCGAGCGATTACTGTAAATAGCTAAAACTGTAAATGAAACATTAACCTATCTATATATATCTATAGAAAAAGAATTAGATATAGCATGTAATTAAAATAAAGACCCAAGTATTAAGTAAACATTATGCAATTAACATTTACTCACCAGCCGCGCATTGTTGATTTGGAAAAGAGCCGCGTCTATGGAGTTTATTGTAGTTGGAATCTCGGTGACATAACGATGATTCTACAAATAGATCAAATTTAGTGTTGGTTCTATTAATGTGGAATTAAAGACATTTAATACGCTACATAGCTTAACTATTACATGTTCACCTATATTTCGTCCGTTAGGATGTTTATGAATTTTTCACTCATTTTTCACATTTGTTTGTATTAATCCAGTTAAACATATATGTATATAAGTTGTCCGAGTGATTCAGTCTTTTGGGCAACAGAAAAAATAGTACGCGAACTCAAAAGCTTGGCATGTGTATTTGGAGGATAATTATCTTAGACAAAGGTTTATGTAGCACAGTGCTTTTCAAGTCAGTATGCTAATTTATAGCCATTCATTAATTATAAGTCGAAGGCAATATATCACATCCGATCGAAAGCTGTTTTTATATTGCAAAAAATAAACAAGCTGCTGTCAGCCCTATGATTCGACATAAAAAATTGATAAATTAATGATTAAAATATGTAATTGCCGTGCAATTACTGCAAGTTATTAAGAAATGGGTCGCCAGCCTTAAAGTAACTATCAGTTAACTTGAGTAATTCCATACAAGATTCGTATCTCGGACTTGCAAAAATATCCAAGATTATAGAAATGTGTAAACCTAAATCAATCAAGAAGAGACTTCGCCTAATAGAGAGGGAATGGGTATGACCTGATTCTTGATTTGAGAGAAAGCGTTCGCCCAAGAGTGTCCGTAAGTAGAGTTATCGTTGCATTTAGTTGTAGAAAAGGAATATAACCGTCAGCGAACTTAAGATTCTATGTTAATTCTGTACTATAACCCATTAGAAGGGTAACCTGTACCTGTACCTGTACTCACCATTTCGCCTACTGTGCACGTGATATGATTGCCATGTTGTCTGGTTGCGCACGAATCGCAGGTGTTGCGCTTGCATGTGGTACAGTAGATATGTGCCGGTGCATTGTGGGCGCTGCACATCAGCTGGACGGGCATACGAAAGATGTCGTTGCCGACACGAATGCCCCTGGAGGCGCGCTTCTTATCGACGAGTCGCTGAAAGACGTGCGTCTTGAGGACGCGACTATGGTGATGCACCGTTTCGAAGCAGCGTTTGCAATAGAAGGCATTACACTGCTTGCACTCGCCGCCCGCCGCACAGTGCCCGCACTCGCTGCACTTGGTCTCCAGCACAATCTCGCTCATATTGGAGGGACACAGCAGCGAGTTGTTGACCGAGTCCACCGAGTAGCGACGATAGTACTCGAGGCTGTTTGTCTCGCCCAGCACATGATAGTTGAGCTCGTAATAGTCACGTATGTCGCCCACATATTTGCCATTCGGATCCTTAGCGGTAATTGTTGGCTGCGCTGAGCTGAAGCAAACGGCGCACTTAAAGTCCATTTGCTGGCGATGCTTCGAAATGCAAAATTCGCACATATTATGACCGCAAGGCAGCAAAAAGGGTCGATGATTTTCTGTTGAAAGCATAAGAGAACAGTTCTTAGTGTCACAGTTTAATTATCCTTGGACAAATGGTTTGATGTTTTTGGACGCAAAACTTAGCGTCCGGCTAAGTGCTATCATTTCAGCTTCTCATCATTGTTTGAAGACTTTCATATCCGAAAAGAAAAACTGTATTTTACAGACTTAACAGGATAGAGAAAGAGTTTATGTCCTCTTTAGGTGAACAGTATACGAGAAATGTTTACACAATATAACGAATAATTCTGCATTATCAGATCAAAAACTGCGTTTTTCTACTTATGGTAAACACCTTATGCACATAAATAACTAATGCTGCTTGCTTTGTTACATATTTCCGCACCAAATTAACATATATTCCTTCTTCCAGGGGATCAGAGTGTTGCCAACTGTCTCTTCAAAAAGTAGCTGAATCCAAATTAAAACTTGATATAAAATATATAAAAATACCAATTGGCAATAAACAGCTACAGGTTACACATTTCAGATAGATGGCAATAAACAGATCATAAAAAAAATTAATAATATAAAAAATAGATTAAATCTCTGCCTAAAATAGCAAAATATAGATAGGAAGGGAAACAGCTGTTTTGGCAACACTGGCCCAGGGTAAAGAAACTTCTGTGTTTAGAAGCAGCGCAAAAGTAAATGAAGCAAAATTGAGCGAGCATCGCACTCATACACACATACATACACAAAATAACGGTTTGTAGCTTAAGCACTCAGGCCAATTTGAATGCACACACACAAACACCTACTTATTTTGTCCGCAGAAGTCTCAAGTTTTCATTAACAATTTAAACAAACAAAATAACTTATTCATGTTTCCAATTCCAGGTGCTGCACATTTGTTGCACTTAATGAATCTATCTTCTGCCAGAGTATAGAAAAGTCTCCTTGTTTAGAAGCAGCGCAAAAGCAAAACTGACAAAATAACGGTTTGTAGGTTATGTACACACATCTAATTGAGTGCAGAAAGCACACACACATACACACATGCAGTTATACATTTTGAACGCAGCTTTCATGAATAGTTTTAATTGCAAGGCATTTGCTTAAGCTAATCCAATTAACAATAATGTCTTTACCTGCTGCAACTCCTTTGGTATGCTTATGCGAATATTCGCGCGTACATTTTGGGCAGCGCAATTGACTGCGCAAATTGGCTGCCACAAATTTGCGATCGAAAAACTTAACACCACTGTCGTCAGTAATCATTTTTGCTGGCTTTACAGTTATTCTCTATTCAATGAATACACAAAAACCCGGCCGCAAATGTAATTTTTCCAAGATGCCTGAGAAACTAAAAAATAAAATTGACCGGCTAAATAAAAGTGTGCGTCAATACTGGTTGAGCACAGTGTTGGGTAAGCGCGCGAAGATCACTGGTTCGTTTAATGAGTCCAATGAGCTCCAATGCTGTTCAAGCACAAAATGAAATTAAATATGCAAATGAAATTGTTTTGTGGTTTTTACTTTTTTATTGCCAAGTCATATATTCAATAAATTATTTTTGTAAATTTGTCAGCCTCATGAAAATAATTATAAAACACTTTATCACGTAGTTTTAACAAGCAACAAAAACAAAACTAGTTCAATGTAAATGTACAGTGTACTAGGCAAAAGGGATGTAATAGAAAGAAACAGCTTGTTTTTAAAAAGCTATTTGTTTCATTCTAACTTACCTTTGGATTTGTTCATTGAGTAATAAAGAGAGTGTCAGTTCAGCTCTTTCTCTTTATTACTCAATGGGGATTTGTTTAGCAAATGTTTTTAAATTAAAGCTTTAATGGAACATTTTCTTTTGTATTTTTTATTGCATTATACACACACCAAAGATTACACCACCGAATGAAAGAAGATAAATATTTTGATATTAACCAAACATGGAATTCATTAGATTGTCTTGACGTTGACGTCGATTGTCCGCATCCTGCTGGAAACGTCGCAATTCCTCATAAACCTCATCGTCTGTTTCCTGTGAGCATCAAAGAGTGAGGTTATGTTGTCGCCAAAGACTTTAATAATATTGTATACTTACGAAGATGAAGCGGCAAATGGGACAGGAGTTTGCCTTCACAGGTGAGTGGATAGAGAAATCAATACAATAAAAATATATTCAAATATTAGAAAGTTGACCTACCTTCTTCAACCACAGCAAAATGCACTCCTCGTGAAACTCGTGCTTGCATGGCAGGATCTTGAATTTATCACCGGCTTGGGCTGGCTCTTTGCACACGGCACACTCGAAATCCTCTTTGACCTCGTCGGCGGCAATTTCATGGATCGGGAGCGCTTCTATGGCCCGCTTGGATGCCTCCGGCACCTCGATCTCCATATCAATGCCATTCATGATGGCCAGCACCTGGAGACGGCGATAATGCCGGTCAAAATCATTGGCACCCTCCGGTCCTGTGGGCGTATGTCCCAGTTCCTCAAAGTAATCGGCCATAATGCGCTGCTCTCTGCAAAGGTGTATCAAAATTTTGAAATATGAACAGTTTTTTGACAAGCTCAAGAAAAACTTTTAGTATATCTTCTCTTTTTTTTTAGGGTGTTTGTAGAGCCAAATGCCATTTTATTTCAAAGTCAAATTAAATCGTATACAATTTCTCTCATATGTAAGTACAATAAGTTATAGAGTTTGGACTCGATCCGAACTATTCGTAGATTGAGTTGACACTGATCTCCGTAGAGCCTAGGGCTTAGTGTATTTAGTAGCTAGGTATATTGTAAGAGGTCTTTGCATTTAAAATGTGTTCTAGAGCTATGATTAGTTTAAAAGTTTTCTTCAACTAGTCTAAAATTACAGGCATATACTGGCATCTCGGGATTGCTACAGACTCTATAGTTCAGGTTTGCTGTATTTATAGACAAGGTATCGTTGAGCTGAGCTGGGCTGAGCTTAGTGAAGTTAGAGCAACTGAAGCCGTCGTCAAAGACCATCAAATGAATAATATTTGAATGTTAAGAAAATGTATTATTAATGCAGTATTATCAAAAAGGAAACTATATTAATAGGAATATTTCCAGATTTCTTTGTGCCAATATTGAAACTGAAAACTAAAGAAATGCATTTAAATTTTCATTTTGGAAGTATATCATTAATTTCCGACCTAAAACCGATCTTTATAAATGGTAATCTACAAAATACTTAAAAATGATGTCATACTGAAAAACTAAATAAAAAAAAAAATAAATACTTAAAATACCAAAATCTAAAAACCCTTGAAAGAAAAAACACAAAATGAATTTGTTGTTCTCATTTCTTTTCTTCGTTTTCTTGTTATTGTTTACTTTATATGCTATAAGTATGTGTTTTAATATTCATTAGATGTAGTTTTTACTGTACTTCATGAACAATTAAATACAATCTTTTTTGCAGGCAAATATAATTAACGGTAATTGGTAACTAATTTAGCTGCTGGCGACACAACTGTACCACTTGAACAAATCAATCGACTTAAAGTTTAACGTGGGTAGTAGGGGGCGGGGGTGGGCGGGGGGACAAAACTTACAACTTAAACTAGTTTAGAACGCTAGAGAATAAATTAAAGATGCCCGCAAATGGGGATTAAATAGTAGCCGCTACAAATTTACATATATGATGATGTTGTTTACATACATATATATATATATATATATATATATGATATTGTAGGGAGTGTAAAATACATACATAAATATATTGTTTATATATATATGAGCTATATATGCAGAAATTAACAAATAAGTACACGATTTTCGATTTAGCGTGGGTGCTGCGACTAACTACGGCAGGTTTCGGGAGGTAGGACCGCGGGGGGAGGTATGATGTAATTACAATGCGCAGAACCAAAGATAGATATAGATTGCTAAATAGGCAGATAGAGATAGATATATATATATATAGCTATTTTCGTATTAGGTATATAATTTCTATAGTAAACGAACGGCTTGCGTTTTTCTTTCTTTCTTCAGATCTATAACTAGCATTAGCATTTACAGTTATAGTACTAGTTCTAGTCTATAGCTAAAAGCGGCGCAGGCGATATAACGGTAGACCGTAGGGTTTCCAACGAACTGTGGCACTAGGCCAACTCCGTGTCCTAGTCGGTAATGGATATCTGTGCATAGCCCACAAGTGAACGCTCATCGGGCGTCTCGCCCGGCTGTACGCCGGAGCTAAGCTGGAACGTTATTGTCTTCATGGTGTCGCACTGGGCGATCAGCTGATCCAAATGCACGGCCATCGGTTGGGTGTCGAGTGCATCCACTAGACCCGCATCCACCAGCTCCGTGGCAATGCCCTCGGCGGTATCTTTGCCCACGGCAAACTCGAAACGGATGTCGTGCAGTTCACGGCGCAAATTGCGCATGCGCAACACCAGATTAACGGGTGGAGCCTCCCCAGCAGCTGATTCACTGGGCAGCGGCATCTGTGCCAGTCCAGCCGCAAGCTCCTGCGTGGCTGTCGCAGCAGCTGCTGGAGCGCCCGATGTGGCGGCGCCTGGCGTCACCGTTGCCGAGGAGAGGCTGCGTGTAATTTCAGGTGTTGTCTCATCGCGATCGCTGTCCGAGGAATCGGCGCGTTCGAGTCGATTGATGGGACGATCCTCGGACTCGGAATCGGATGAGGGATGTTTGCGTCCACCACTGCCGCTGGCATTGTCCTCCTCCTCGCTGGACCATACCCATTCGCCGGTGACGGTGCGATGCAAACGACCCGATGCGCCCGGCTGACGTTTGGCCGCCTTGTGGACGCGCGTCTCCATGCTGGGACCGGATTGTAGCAGGGTTTGGGTTAAATATTTGCGATCCTTGGCCTTCTTGAAGAATGCATGCTTGAGCAGCTCGCTGGCAGTTGGACGTTTCGATGGCTCCTTTTGCAGGCACTCAACGATCATTTTACGGAATGTCTTGCCATAGGCCTTATACTGATCCTTATCCTCGGCGCCCGTATCCAAGGTGGGCGGCTCATTCTGCAGGGTCAACATGAGCACCTTCATGGGTGGATATTTGTGATATGGTGCTGTGCCCGTTGCCATCTCAATGGCCGTTATGCCAAACGACCAGATGTCCGCCTTGAAGTCGTAGCCATGATCCTGTTCCATCACCTCCGGCGCCATCCAGCATGGTGTGCCCACGAATGTGTGACGCACCTTCTGACGCGACAAATCTCGGCCGGTGGCCAGCCAGGCGCTAACACCAAAATCAGCGATCTGTATGGTACCGTCATCGCCGATGAGTATATTGCCCGCCTTGATGTCACGATGGATCTGGCCATTCGAATGGAAATACTCGAGACCCTTGAGCACCTCCTTTAGGACGGTGGCAATGGTTGCCTCATCGAAGACACCCTGCTTACAATTGGCCGTGCGCATCTTATGCTTGATAATGTCCAGCAGGGATCCACCCTCGAGGAGGCGCAGCACCAGCCACAGTTCCTCGCGCACCACAAACGATGTGTGATAGGTGACGACATTCTCGTGATTGCACGACGACATGGCCTGTATCTCCTTGAGCAGCTCATCCATGGAAGTGTTCCATTTCTCCAGATTGATGCGCTTAATCGCGCATTTCTCATTCTTGGGTATGCAATAGGCGCCATGCACCACAGCCGTGGCGCCCACACCAATTACATCCCTCAGCTCGTAATCATCCTTGGAATTGGGCCATGGCTGCTTCTCGGGCGCCACAAGGGCAGCCCCAGCGGTAGCAGCAGTGCCAGCCACATTGTTGCTGGACAGCGTGGCAGGTATGGAAGTCATGCTTCTGACCGCGTGCGGTGGTGGTGCTCCTGGACGTTTGCTGCGCAACGGTTGCTGCAAGATTGCGGGCTGGCTTTGGGAGCGTTGCGTTTGTCGTCGCGGTTGCCTGGCTATGACACCAATGCCAGCTGTGTTTAGCTCCTGTGGCTGATCCTCCTGCTCCTCTTCTTGCTGCTGCTGCTGCTGCTGCTCCCTTTGCTCCTGTTGCTCCTCTTGCTGCTGCTGGCCAAACTCAGTGTCGTGTTGCCTGTAGTAGCTGCCGGCCTGTTGGCTGCTGTTGCACTCTCTGTTGCGCTGTTGCACGTTGTAGCTGCCGGAATTGGCGTTCTCCTTGGGCTGCTGTTGCTCTGCCTCCTGTTGCTGTTGCTGCTCCTGCTGCTTTTTGCTAAAGCAGCCAAAGATGCAACTTTTCTCTACGTCCGACTCTTCAGATACTTTTATGCTGCAGCTGCTGTTGTTGTTGTTGTTGTTGTTATTGTAGTTATTTTTGTTGTTGTTGCTGTTGTTGTTGGCGAAGTATGCAACTTCTGCAATAGAGCAAAAGAGAGAACATATAAGGTTGAGCCTTGCCACAATAAAATAAGCAAATGCAAAGCGATTTTGAGTATAACTAGGAATTTGTAAGATTCGGTTGCATGCCACAGTACTTCAATATATCAATATGCAGATGGATTGACTGATTGAAGTTCTTTAATATAGCAATATGCAGATTGATTGACTTATTGAATGCAGTAAGAGCTTGTTCGATTTGGTTGCATGCAACAGTACTTCAATATATCAATATTTTAATTGATTAACTGACTGATCAATGCACAGGCTAAACAGTAAACATACAGTTTATATGAAAATAGTTTCCTTTTACGAAGAAAGTTTTGTTTTTCAATTCACCCACAAATGTGGAAAAACGACTGTTAACAACGAATTGTTAAAAAATACCCCTTGCAACAATTCTATATTTCGACTACAAAACGTTTAAGGGGGAAGTGTTTCATTTTGGCTAGAAGCTCGCATTCGCACTCGCACCCGTTTGTAAAGTAAACAAAATGTTTACGCCCCGCAGCACATGTCGCACACACACATACACATAAAGCCAAGAGACCTGTTGCCCTGCTAATGACTGATAAAAAGAGTAAAGGCAAAAATTTTTCCATAAAACTGATAAGCAATGTGTTTTGCGTTTTTATGAATCAACTGCATTTAAACATGAGTGTGCACGCAATTTTAGACGCTGACTGTACAACACTAGCGGCAAGCAAAGTGTGTACTGCTACTCTCTCTCTCCCTCTCTCGCTCTTTCTCTCTTTTGCTGATCCGTTGTAGCATAAAAATTGACGCTCCACAATCAGTTTATTGTGTGCTGTGCGGAGGTGTGCGAGGGACCAATGACCGCATTCAGCTATTTTTAGATCGCCACAACAACAACAACAGCAACAATGTGTAGAAAGTGCAATTAGGAATCCAGTTTACAGTTTTTATTAGAGTTGTTGCAGCTGGATAAAGTTAGATTGAAGGCACTGTTATCACAGTTAGTTCGAAAGAGTAGGGCGCCTCAGTACACCAACTTCAGTTTTTTCACAGGTCGCGACTCATTAATTGTGTAAATATCGAGTCAATTGTGCGTCCGTTAGCAAAGCTCTTACTGCCTATTTATGTTTGTTTTCATAGGCTGATATCTAACAAAAGCAAAACGGAAAATAATAAACAGTAGAAATATA